TTTTGTCTCACCCCACACTCACTCACTCAACCACCACACTGCAGGTCACAACAACACTCACTCACCCACTCACTCACCACACTGCAGGTTACAACAACACACTCACCCACTCACTCACTCAACCACCACACTGCAGGTCACAACAACACACTCACCCGCTCACTCACTCACTCACCACCACACTGCAGGTCACAACAACACTCACTCACCCACTCACTCACCACACTGCAGGTTTACAACAACACACTCACCCACTCACTCACTCAACCACCACACTGCAGGTCACAACAACACACTCACCCGCTCACTCACTCACTCAACCACCACACTGCAGGTCACAACAACACTCACTCACCCACTCACTCACCACACTACAGGTTACAACAACACACTCACCCGCTCACTCACCCACTCACTCACCACACTGCAGGTTACAACAACACATTCACCCGCTCACTCACTCACTCAACCACCACACTGCAGGTCACAACAACACACACTCACCCGCTCACCACACCGCAGGTCATAACAACACACTCACCACACTACAGGTTACAACACACTCACCCACTCACTCACTCAACCACCACACTGCAGGTCACAACAACACACTCACCCGCTCACCACACCGCAGGTCATAACAACACTCACTCACCACACTACAGGTCACAACAACACATTCATTCACCTGCTCACCCACTCACCACACTGCAAATCACAACAAGACACTCTCTCACCCACTCGCTCACCACACTGCAGGTTTAAACAACACACTCACCCGCTCACTCACTCAACCACCACATTTGCAGGTTACAACAACACACTCACCCACTCACCACACTGCGGATCACAGCAACACTCACTCACTCACCCACCCACTCACCACACTACAGGTCACAACAACCACATCACCAACTCACCCACCGTACTGCACATCACAACAATACACTCACTCAACCACCCACTCACCACACTACAGGTCACAACAACACACTCACTCACCTGCTCACCCACTCACCACACTGCAGGTCACAACAACACACTCACCACACTGCAGATCACAACAATACACTCACTCACCTGCTCACCCACTCACCACACTGCAGGTCACTACAACACATTCACCCACTCACTCACCACACTGCAGATCACAACAATACACTCACTGAACCACCCACTCACCACACTACAGGTCACAACAACACACTCACCCACTCACTCACCACACTGCAGATCACAACAATACACTCACTCAACCACCCACTCACCACACTACAGGTCACAACAACACACTCACTCACCTGCTCACCCACTCACCACACTGCAGGTCACAACAACACACTCACCACACTGCAGATCACAACAATACACTCACTCACCTGCTCACCCACTCACCACACTGCAGGTCACTACAACACATTCACCCACTCACTCACCACACTGCAGATCACAACAATACACTCACTGAACCACCCACTCACCACACTACAGGTCCACAACAACACACTCACCCACTCACTCACCACACTGCAGATCACAACAATACACTCACTCAACCACCCACTCACCACACTACAAGGTCACAACAACACACTCACTCACCTGCTCACCCACTCACCACGCTGCAGGTCACAACAACACATTCACCCACCAACTCGCCCACCACACTGCAGGTCACAACAACACATTCACCCACCAACTCGCCCACCACACTGCAGGTCACAACAACACACTCACCCACTAACTCACCAACGCGCCGGGTGTGCCAAAGTAGCCCAGTCAACAGATTGGCACGTTGTGTTCATGGGACAACACGATGTAAACCCAAGAAAGTATTAAAAATAAGAATAAGTTTGATTATTTACGGCAATAAAACAGCTGTTGAGATGTTCAAACACCAAATATAAACCTTTTTCAAGGAATCAAGTAACTGCATTAACCGCACGTACTTGTGGTGAACATGCAAACAAACATGCTCTGATATTGAAGATATGGCGCTGTCTTTGAAACTGATTGGTCTCCACCAGAGAGAACCTTTTTCATTGCCGAGTCTCACCAGCGGTGTCACACCGGAGAACGCCAAGATGCGAACAACACAAAGACAGAACGGGTCAAATCGATCCTTATTTTCCATACTTTCATACTAAGCAAAAAGGTCCCATGATATAGCCCAACAAGCTTCACATCATGAATAAGATTGGTCAGGTACGTTGATTACCATATGAATAACCCAAGCGACAATGGGTAACCCATTGTATCCATGAATACATGTACATTACAATGGGGTATCCATTGTAATGTACATGAATTCATGAATACACACCACTTCGCACGTGGAGGTGCTCACAAGTGACGTCATCACATCTCATCCCTCGATTTAAGGAACGAAGCAGGAAGATTTCTCCACGGATCTGGCTGTCTGCCTGATCACGCCGGCTGCAATTATAATTGCTAGTGGAACGTCGTACTCAGATTGTAAATGTTTGTGGATTTTGCTCTCCAACACACCGTGTGCTGTACAAGTAACGAATCGGCACGTCCTGTTTATGTGCCAAATGTTAAAAATTGGCTGTGTCGGGTGGTGTCGGATTTAACGACACGTTTCTACTTAACCCAAAAAACCGAGATTATAGACATCATCTCTCACGTCATCTCTCACATCATCCATCCTTGACACACATCATCTCTCACATCATCTCTCACATCATCTCTCCTTGACACACAACATCTAACCTTGACACACAACGTCTAACCTTGACACCATAACCATCTAACCTTGACACACAACATCTAACCTTGACACACAACATCTAACCTTGACACACAACATCTAACCTTGACACACAACATCTAACCTTGACACACAACATCTAACCTTGACACACAACATCTAACCTTGACACACAACATCTAACCTTGACACACAACATCTAACCTTGACACACAACATCTAACCTTGACACACAACATCTAACCTTGACACACAACGTCTAACCTTGACACATAACATCTAACCTTGACACACAACATCTAACCTTGACACACAACATCTAACCTTGACACACAACATCTAACCTTGACACACAACATCTAACCTTGACACACAACGTCTAACCTTGACACACAACATCTAACCTTGACACACAACATCTAACCTTGACACACAACATCTAACCTTGACACACAACATCTAACCTTGACACACAACATCTAACCTTGAGACACAACATTTAACCTTGAGACACAACATCTAACCTTGACACACAACATCTAACCTTGACACACAACATCTAACCTTGACACACAACATCTAACCTTGACACACAACATCTAACCTTGACACACAACATCTAACCTTGACACACAACATCTAACCTTGACACACAACATTTCTACTCACCGCTGCCACGTCAACGACTTCTGTTCGAAGGCGCTGTGCAGCGAGTTGACGTTGTCGTGAAACAGAGCCAGGGCTTCCTTTAAGTTGGCTTCCAGCTTCTGCCTACGAGAGGACAACGCAGCGTGTGTTGTGCGTGCGTCAGCAACACCGCCGGTGGCGTCGTCGTCACCGGGACACTATGATCGATCCACTGCTGGATGAAAACACGACACGGTGTCGTGCGGCCCGGTTTAAAGGACCCCGTTTATGCTTAGTACGGAGGTGCAACTCTCCAGACGATCAGTTTGACACGTAGGCTTTCGCGACCAGTATCATCCCTAATCGAGGTTTTTTGGGGGTTAGGATCGCGTAAATATATAAAATGTTGCGTCGTTAAAACCCGCCACCACCCGACACAGCCAACTAGTAAGGGTTGTCACGTAAACAGAACGTGGCCAATTCGTCACTAGTACAGCACCACCACCAGTAACTACAACAAGCTTCATCAGGCGACAAATCTGGCTGTCGCCTGATGAAGCTAGTTGTAATTATGATTTAAAGCTTTCGTGACTGCAGTGATTCATATTCTCGGTTCTTTCGGTAAAGTCACGTTGAAGGGGAAACAATACAATAATAATATATATAAATATATATTTATTGCGCTTTATATATTATTATTATTATTTTATTTTTTCCCTTCAACGTGACTTTACCGAAAGAACCAAGAATATAGTTTGTAATTACTCGCGAAACGTCGTACTCAGATTGTAAATGTTGTGGTTTTGCTCTCCAACACACCGGTGTCCTGTACTGGTGACGAATTGGCCACGTTCTGTTTACGTGACCAACCTTACTAGTTGGCTGTGTCGGGTTGGTGGCGGGTTTTAACGACACGTCTATATATTTACGCGATATAACCCAAAAACCTTTATTGTGGACTCCAGACGATCGATAATACATCTAATGGATCTGGTAAAATTAGTTCATTTATATGTTGGTGCTACTAATCGACCGATTTTTTGCGTGCACGTTTATGTTTGTTGTCCTTCCGCCGCACCTCGAATGAGCACAGTTGGCTACATGTGGTGCGAAAGATGTTCAACATACGTCGCAGCAGCACTCACAACTCACTTTCAAGGTTATGCATATGCACGTCCATCGCCGGACATCTCTGCAACACACGGACACGATGAAGACGTTTCAGATTAGCCGTTAGCGTCGTTGGGGAGAATATAAAACAGCGGAATAAATACGCAATGTCCGTCTGTCCTCCACATAAAAAAAAAAAGTATTTTGTTTTACGCAGCTCAGCAGCCGCCACGGACTTCTGGGAGTGCGTGATTTCAGTGACAAAACTTTGAACTGTTTTTGACAATGCAGCGTCCTCATCAGCAGTGTCAGGCTTTCTTGAATCAATGCTACAGGCAAGGGGTGTGGGTGGCCAGCACCACGCCGACCCGCCTTTGTCTCCCAAGTGGGGCTGTTTACAACACCGCACCAGGTACTCATTTGAGACTGGGTCGACCTAGGGGAGGCCCAGGATCGGTTCAGATAATCTTCACTGGTGTTGACCGTGAGCGGGAATTGAACTCAGGTCGCCGGGTTCGTAGAAGCAGTGCACTAACCGCTGCACTAACCGCTCCCCAAAGACAAAGATCCCCCATATATATTCTTAATAGACTGTACGATCAAGTGCTGTAAGCAAGCACCTATGAAGGCCGGAATGGCATACGAGGGGGTCGGTGGCTAGTACCATGCCCGGCCGCCTTTGTTTCCCTAGTGGTGTAGTGTTTAGGCACCAGGTACTAATTTGAGGCCGAGTCGACCTACACACACACACACGCTACCGTCAAGTTCATTTACAAAACTGCAGAAGGTACACGTGTGTTTTAATGAGTTTGGTTATTTTTCTGACCTTCGATTAAAAGGCACCTTCGGCGATAGTGCCGCGCTCCACCATCATCCACAGGCTGTTTCTCTAACATGGGGCGACGCTGCGCCACATCGTACGGGAGCTTAAAATACCAAGGGCTTGATTTCACGAAATAAAACCAAATGTCACAAACACCGCCATCGTCCTAACGATTCGGTTTATCTGTCGGGTCCGTCCGCCAGTCGGCTGCGAACACAATACTCTAACGCGGATGGGCTGCACTCTCTCTGCAACGGTCCCCGACGTGGACTTCTTCCATCTCGTGACATCGATTGCACGTTTGGGATAACACCAGGGGAGGAGAAATCAATCATTCGTTGTAAACCGTTGCGTCATCACTCACTGCGTTGCTGCAGGTCCCGGTCGAACTGAACTAGGGTGTCGAGAGACAGCTTGGCGAGAACGGCCAGTCGCTCCACGCTGAGACAGACAAAGATACCCCGTTTAAGGCTCAACAGAATGCTGGGGCAAGTGCTGTTAGCGAGTTATAAGCTGTGAACGCCGGCACGGCACAACGACGGGGATGGGGTGGGGGCAGCATTAGTCTCCCGACCGGCGATATTTAAACATCATATTGGGTACTTATTTGAGGCCGAGTCGATCTAGGGGGAGGCCCAGGACCGGTTCAGATAATCGTCACTGATGTTCGCCGTGAGAGGGAATCGAACTTGGGTCGCCAGGTTTGTAGCGCAACGCGCTAACCGCTCCAATGCCGCTCCCCAACACACACGCAGGCGCATGCACACAATCACAGCGGGGCAAGGCTATTCAACATCTCCTCCTGGGTCCACAAAGTGTATTTTTCCTGGGTAAGGTTGAGTGTCGAGCATCGCCTCTCAAAGCATTTTCCGCCGAGCGGTGACGTTGGCTCGACACGTGGCCTCTAATCCAACACTGCGGAGGCAGCGAGGGTTGATGGATCACCACACGAATGCTGTGTGAAAGCTCCCAGCGGGCATCCAGGGAGGTGCCATACCCTGGGACTTCGCCAGTTGGAAGGCAGTAACAGGAAAACCTTGGATTGCGAGTAACTTGGTCTGCGAGTGTTTTGCAAGACGAGCAAAACTTTTCAATACATTTTAACTTGATAAACGAGCGATGTCTTGCAATACGAGCAGTACGTACAGTATATGCTTTGTCTGCTGAGCGTCATGTGATCACAACTGAGCCGATGGTTTTTTCTCTCTCTCTCGCTGCAGGATTGTGGGTAATCGTTTCCCATGCTCGGTCTCAGTCGGCGTGCCTAACTCGTATAGTCAATATCCGTGCGAGCGTATACTGTTTACTATAGTGTTGTGACCACGTGTATACTGTTTACTACAGTACTATAGTGTTGTGACCACGTGTATACTGTTTACTACAGTATAGTATTGTGACCACGTGTATACTGTTTACTATAGTGTTGTGACCACGTGTATACTGTTTTACTACAGTACAGTGTTGTGACCACGTGTATACTGTTTACTATAGTGTTGTGACCACGTGTATACTGTTTACTACAGTACAGTGTTTGTGACCACGTGTATACTGTTTACTATAGTGTTGTGACCACGTGAGTGTGCATAAAGCATTTTTTATTGTGTGTCCAAGTGTAGTGACTGTTCTTTAGTAACTGTACTGCAACAATGCGTTTTGCCTCCTCAAAGTGTCATTGGATAGGTTCCTTGTTAAAGTCGCACAACAGAAAAAAGATTCCAGTGAGCCAACAGCTGGCAGTGATTCCGTTAGTGACAGTGAAAGTCGTCCTACACAATAACCCTCCTCCTCTCATCTCTCTCGTCTCCCTCACACCAGCCACGATTACATTTAATTAATACATTTGATTACTTTATATTAAATTTAAATAATTAAAATTAAAAAGGTATTTTGTATTAATCATTTTCATATGAATATGTTTGGGTTGTGGAACGAATCATCTGAGTTTCCATGATTTCTTATGGGGAAATTCGCTTTGATATACGAGTGCTTTGGATTACAAACACGTTTCCGGAACGAATTATGCTCGCAATCCAAGGTTTTACTGTACAGACAAAATGCGGACTCCATCTGTTCCTATGGGACCTTTTTTCCTTCTCTGGTCTAACACTGGTGTGTTACAGGCCTGTAAAAGCAGGCTGCTGTTTCTGGTGTAGGCCAATCAGTTTCAAAGACAATGCCATACATAATTATTAGAGCGTGTTTGTTTGCATGTTTTGCCACAAGTACTGTGTGTGGTTAATGCAGTACTTTATGCCTTGCAAAAAGTTTATATTTGGTGTTGGAACATCTTAACACCTGCTGCTTTATCGTCAGGAAGGGTAACAGGTCCCTGCAGGGTGGGCTGGTAGGAACATTGGAATTTTGCGCAATTTTATTTTTACACCCCAACAGCACGAGATTTCACTTCGTTAAAGTATTGAAAGGGGACGGATGGACGGACACATTAATCTATTGCAGGCTGGTACACTCAGTTTACAACTTCGTTCCTACCAGTAAAACATATTCTTATTTTTCATCCATCTCTTCCGTCTGGGATAAGAGCGCTGTGCTCCTCCTCACATGTGTGGGGTTTTCTCCGAGAAGCTCCGGTTTCCACCCACTTGTAAACATTCACCATTAATTGGCCTATGTCACCTCAATACACAGAGGACCGCAGAGCTTGGGGTGGCGGCTCATCGAGTGACTGCCTTCCTGCTTGCACGTGGTTCCTCCGCGCGCCTCCGAGACCGCTCCTCGCTCGCTGCGAGAGCGAGGAGCGGGCACTGCTACGGCGGCGGCGCGTTACAAGTCGGCACGGACGGCTAGGAGATGTTGGCTACCTCACCTGGTATGCAGGAGGTCGTGGGTTAGATCCTAACCGTGACGCCACCGTGGCTAGGAGATGTTGGCTACCTCACCTGGTATGCAGGAGGTCGTGGGTTAGATCCTAACCCTGACGCCACAGTGGCTAGGAGAGTGTTGACTACCTCACCTGGTATGCAGGAGGTCGTGGGTTAGATCCTAACCCTGACGCCAGTGGCTATGAGATGTTGGCTACCTCACCTGGTATGCAGGAGGTCGTGGGTTAGATCCTAACCCTGACGCCACAGTGGCTAGGAGATGTTAGCTACCTCACCTGGTATGCAGGAGGTCGTGGGTTAGATCCTAACCCTGACGCCACAGTGGCTAGGAGATGTTGACTACCTCACCTGGTATGCAGGAGGTCGTGGGTTAGATCCTAACCCTGACACCACAGTGGCTAGGAGATGTTGGCTACCTCACCTGGTATGCAGGAGGTCGTGGGTTAGATCCTAACCCTGACGCCACAGTGGCTAGGAGATGTTGGCTACCTCACCTGGTATGCAGGAGGTCGTGGGTTAGATCCTAACCCTGACGCCACAGTGGCTAGATGTTGGCTACCTCACCTGGTATGCAGGAGGTCGTGGGTTAGATCCTAACCGTGACGCCACCGTGGCTAGGAGATGTTGGCTACCTCACCTGGTATGCAGGAGGTCGTGGGTTTAGATCCTAACCCTGACGCCACAGTGGCTAGGAGATGTTGGCTACCTCACCTGGTATGCAGGAAGTCGTGGGTTAGATCCTAACCCTGACGCCACAGTGGCTAGGAGATGTTGGCTACCTCACTTGGTATGCAGGAGATCGTGGGTTCGATCCCAACCCTGAGGCCACGGTGGCTAGATGTTGACTACTTCGCCTGGTATGCAGGAGGTCATGGGCTTGATCCCAACCCTGACTATGACTGCTGTTACTTGGAGTTTGCGTGTCCCTCCACATTTAGAATCAACGTGTGTTTAGAGTATTTGGCTGCTGCACATTTCCACGTGATGATAAGCCACGTCGTTGAGCTATCATTTGTGGCCAGGTCGCTTCTGAAAAATACCTATATAGCTCACTGGGTCTTACCTGGTAAAATAAAAAATAGTTCAGTTTAGAAATAACTATTATATTATTATTCCTACCGCCCTACCGTCGCGCACCACGGCGGACAGCAGTGCGTGGCAAAACCTCGACACAGCAACAGAGATGTTCTCTACTCCGCGGCCGAACCCGTAGAACCGCCGAAGCCTGGGCACCGTTACTGCTCTAGCCCCGGTGCTGATGTGCGCGTGTGCGTGCGGGTGTGCGTGTGTGTGTGCGTGCGCGGATCGTCTCACGAGCAGTCGCTCAGCTGGAAGCCCACGGACTGGCACCAGCTGGCCGAGAGGTCGCCCCCCGGGGCGCACGATGCATCCACCTCCATCAAGCGGCCCTCCAGCTCCTCCAGACGCCCGCACGCCTGCAACAGCGACGACGATTGCACAAACCCCCACCCCCCCACGTTTGTGCAATTATTCCCTCTTTTTACTCCTCAATTGTACTCCTCAACTTTACTTGAATTTCAGTCATGCAATTACTCCTCGAGGGCAATGCTGTACTCGCTCTCTGCAAAGTTGATGTTTTTTGTCCTTGTACAGTATGTACACGTGTACAGTAAACACGGCGCTAGCGCGCGAGTTCTGGGTTTCACGAGGTTAACATATTGGCGAGTTACTAAAATCTCACCAATAATGCTGCCATTAGCTCAGGAGGGGGAGAGGTCCCCGAATGACGATTATTACCGGAATCGCGGTGATAAGTTGGCGATTCGTTATTAGATACTTATTTCCACCCGCAGCATGAAAATAACGTAACCCTTTCCCGTCCCGAGACGGTCTGAAAGTTGCTGGGGGGGGCGGTGTCCCGTTCACCGCCGATTCTCGGAACACGCAAAGCGGCTCGGCGTTAGTTTTATTTAGAGAGGCGTCGTAACGCCGTTGTTTTTAAAGACGTGCTCACCGCGGAGAGCCATAGCCACACGAACCGACGCACTCCTCGGTAGCCGGCGCCAACTGTGCCGCACGCCCTCCTGCATGGACCTTGCAGGAGCCTCGGTACCGACTGAGCTGTTTTATTTTTAGTTTCTCTTCCAGTTTCGTTTTGATAACGTATGTACGCGTACGTCATCGGAACGGGAAACGGGTTAAAATCGCCCTCATCCTTTCCACACGACGCTGACGTATCGAGGGCGTGGTTTGGCGTTTCAGGCGCCGTGAAGACTCGCCCCCTCCGCCCCCGCCGCCGCCGCCGCCGCCGCCGCCGCCGCCGCCGCCGCTCCACTCACCGAGCGGACGGCCGCTTCAACCTCGGCGACGCAGCCCGGAGCGGACGCGAGCTGCTCGTGCCTCGTCGCTAGCGTGCACCTGGAGGTGAAGTTAATGTCAAGCAAAATTCGCAAACACTTTAAAAGGAGACGCGTTTGAACTCCGCGTTATGGTCGTTTCAGCTTCGGGGGGAGGCCTTCAATCCACGAGTGGATGGAACTGTTTTCATTGCACATTATTCATTTATGGGAGAAGAAATGTTGCCGGCGGGGTGATGGTGATGCAGCCAGGTCCACCTGTGCTGCAGGTCCTATCGCCGTTTGCACGATGCCCACTGTCTATTAGTGTTCACTGTTCGACAGCTGTCCGTACGGCTGTGTCTAAGTTTCAAGCTGCGGCTGTTGTGGTGGATTTTGACTTCTCAAATTGTTTCGCTGTCACATTTTTTGTTTTCACCGTTTCACTTTTCTGTATCCTCTTTTTAATCCCCCCCTTCATCCCCGCACGGGGTTCTCTCTGCGACCCCGACGACAGTGGGGACTGCTCTCACACGTGTTCCCACAACAACAACAACACCCGTGTCACCACAACAACAACACCCGTGTCACCACAACAACAACACCCGTGTCACCACAACAACACCCGTGTCACCACAACAACAACAACACCCGTGTCACAACAACATCACCCGTGTCACAACACCCGTGTCACCACAACAACACCCGTGTCACAACAACAACAACACCCGTGTCACCACAACAACAACCCGTGTCACAACAACACCCGTGTTACCACAACAGCAACACCCGTGTCACCACAAACAACACCCGTGTCACAACAACACCCGTGTTACCACAACAACAACACCCGTGTCACCACAACAACACCCGTGTCACCACAACAAACAACACCCGTGTCACCACAACAACACCCGTGTCACAACAACACCCGTGTTACCACAACAGCAACACCCGTGTCACCACAACAACACCCGTGTCACAACAACACCCGTGTTACCACAACAACAACACCCGTGTCACCACAACAACACCCGTGTTAACACAACAACACCCGTGTTACCACAACAACAACACCCGTGTCACCACAACAACACCCGTGTCACCACAACAACACCCGTGTCACAACAACAACACCCGTGTTACCACAACAACAACACCCGTGTCACCACAACAACACCCGTGTCACCACAACAAACAACACCCGTGTCACCACAACACCCGTGTCACAACAACACCCGTGTCACCACAACAACACCCGTGTCACCACAACAACACCCGTGTCACAACAACAACAACCATGTCACCACAACAACAACCATGTCACCACAACAACACCCATGTCACCACAGCAGCATGTGGACGAACAAGCAGACTACGCCACTCAACTACCCCCAGTACAACCACGTGGTGTTCTGGTGGAACAAGCGGACTCCTCCACTCAGCTACCCCCAGTACAACCATGCGTGTTCTAGTGGAACAAGCGGACTACTCCACTCAGCTATCCCAATACAACCATGCGTGTTCTAGTGGAACAAGCAGACTCCTCCACCCAGCTACCCCAATACAACCACGTGGTATTCTGGTGGAACAAGCGGACTCCTCCACCCAGCTACCCCAATACAACCACGTGGTGTTCTGGTGGAACAAGCGGACTACTCCACTCAGCCTACCCCAATACAACCACGTGGTGTTCTGGTGGAACAAGCGGACTACTCCACTCAGCTAGCCCAGTACAATCACATGGTGTTCTGGTGGAACAAGCGGACTACTCCACTCATCTAGCCCAGTACAACCACGTGGTATTCTGGTGGAACAAGTGGACTACTCCACTCAGCTAGCCCAGTACAACCACGTGGTGTTCTGGTGGAACAAGCGGACTACTCCACTCAGCTACCACACTACAACCACGTGGTGTTCTGGTGGAACAGGCGGACTACTCCACTCAGCTACCCCAATACAACCACATGGTGTTCTGGTGGAACAAGCAGACTACTCCACTCAGCTACCCCCAGTACAACCACGTGGTGTTCTGGTGGAACAAGCGGACTACTCCACCCAGCTACCAACTTGGATGCCCCCGTGGAATGGTTAAAAACGAAATGAAAAATACAGTAGCCTGCTGTTCCTTTTTTTCAAATGAGATACAAGAGAACTTCCCCCCCGTCCCCCCTTCCCCCCAACCCACCCCCCACCATCCCACCCCCTTCACAACCCCACCCACCCCCCCAAACCCCCACTACCATAAGCCCTACCCCGGGTGCAGATATAGCGGGACGGGACTTACAGCCTGCTGGTCTTGTGCAGCAAGTCCACAGCGGCGTCGCGTCTCACCTTCACCTCGCCCAGCCGCTGCAGCGCCGTCCTCGTGTCGTCCTCGAACTCGGAGCTGAAAGATCGTAGAGGTGGGGGGGGGCAAGGGCAGCGTCTCGAGACGTTTGAAAAGCAACTCTTTAACGAGAGAGTCCCCCCCCCCTGCCGCGAACGGTCGAGAGAGTTTTCCGAGACGGAAAAAAGTGTTAATTCTTCCCATGGAAACTTCGTGAAAGACGCAACGCACAAGATCCCTGGCTTCGATCTTCCACGAGCGTTCCATGGTCCATCCTAAATCGCATCCACTGCACAAACCCGTGGTCGGTGCGGATACCTGATGCACAAATGAAAAATTAAAAACTCTCCAGTAGTGTGCGAATGTGGTCATCCCCAACAGACCATGCAACATATAATGACGCAATGCCCGAACCACAAATACGAAGGAGACATCACAGCGGTATACACTGCTGAAGCGGTTATCTGAGCTTGACCACCTGAATGTGAACTTTTAGATGTTGCCCTGCGTCTACATCAGCAGCCGTACGGAAGAAGAAGAAGAAGATGGAAACGCCGGCATAAACTACAGTTGGTCAGGATGGAGCGCGGTTCCGCATGGATTGTGTAACCCTTTCCGCCCCGTGTTTGTTTAATCAGCGTGTTTGTTTAATCAGCGGTGCAGAAGATATAGGACAGCTGATTTGCGGGGTGTGCGATGCGTTTGCACATCGACAAAGAGTCCTTTAATGCCCTGGCTTGGGTCTCCCAAGTTTCGGACACAGTTTTGATGAATGGGTTTCTATGGGGTTTCTATGGGGTTTCTATAGGGTTGCGTCCCTGAAAGCAATGGGGTTTTTATACAAAAGTTTTAGTTCATATTGGGTTGTCGTCATGAGCGTTATCGCGAATCCCCCATTACAGAACACACTTTTTTTATCAACATGGATGGGATTCTACAGGGCAGGTGCATGAGAGCATCACAACATATTACATTATGAGACCTCCTTTGCCAGAAACAAGATATAGGAATAGGTTTTACCCTTTTAACTGGCACAAAAACTGACACCTTTATTCAAGGCATCATGTTTGCAATAACCACAACACAAGCAGTCAAAATGCAAACAAAAAAGACAACTCTGATAATAATATGCACTGTCCTTGAATTTGATTGGTCCACACCCGAGACTAGCTTTTCTTAGAGCCTAGTCTCCATTGGTGTTGGACCAGAAGACGCCAAAAGGCGTACAACTCAAAAACAGCGCACTATCAGAGTATTGAGGGCTCGGGGTGAGCATTTACATTATGAGACCTCCTTTGCCAGAAACAAGATCTTGTTTCTGGCAAAGGAGGTCTCATAATGCTCACCCCGAGCCCTCAATACTCTGATAGTGCGCTGTTTTTGAGTTGTACGCCTTTTGGCGTCTTCTGGTCCAACACCAATGGAGACTAGGCTCTAAGAAAAGCTGTCTCGGGTGTGGACCAATCAAATTCAAGGACAGTGCATATTATTATCAGAGTTGTCTTTTTGTTTGCATTTTGACTGCTTGTGTTGTGGTTATTGCAAACATGATGCCTTGAATAAAGGTGTCAGTTTTTGTGCCAGTTAAAAGGGTAAAACCTATTCCTACATCACAACATAATCGTAAGAAAGTTTAATTCATATTTAACAACAAATAATTGCATGCGATATTGTGGAGAATATAAATAACAAAATAGATAAGCAATGTCTCCTGCATAAGCTGCTCTCCACGCAGAAAATAAAGGTAATCCAAACATTTTTATTATTATTATACCAAGTAAGGCCCTAGAGCTATGTAACTCTTTTTCAGAAGCGAACTGGCCACAAATTACAGCTCAACAAAGCGGCTTATCACATGGATATGTATAGCAGCCAAATACTCTTAAATGCACAATGTTGATTCTAAACGTGGCGGGAAAAACTGGAGGATCGAGAAAAAAATCCACGCAACCACGGGGAGAGAACACGCACACTCCAAGTATACCAGGCGAGGTAGTTAACATCTCGCCACCCGTGTAAGAAAGGTACTTCTTATACCTTTTCTAGATTTAAAGCTTTCGTGACTGCAAGGATCCATACTCTTTGGTTCTATTCGGTAAAGTCACGTAGGTAAGAAATAAAACAACAAAAATTACGACGTTTCGGCCACAACACAAGCGGCCTTCATCAGGTGAAGGGACGAGACTGTCTCGAGGACACTCCAGTGCTGTCCTCGAGACAGTCCTGGTCCCTTCACCTGATGAAGGCCGCTTGTGTTGTGCCCGAAACGTCGTGATTTTTGTTGTATTTTTTACCTACGTGACTTTACCAAATAGAACCAAAGAGTATACTTCTTATACCCCCCCATCAGCCCTCTGGGAGTGCATAACTTAAATTCAGCAGCACCCATTCAGACACAACACAAACTCTGGACTGGTTTTAACACACAGCGCCTCATCGGTAGACTCATGCTTGGCTCTCCTTCACATATCTGCCTGTCCACATAAACAAAATCTAATAAATAAAAACAAGCATAAAGTCTTCATTACCATCTATGTGTTGCATAAAAAAACGTTTTCACTTGGAGAGAGAGAAAGAAACGTGAAGTAGACGTAGCATCCGCTTATCTATGCCATTCATACTGGATCATCGTTCCAGAGTTGCAGTGACCCCCCGGCCACCCCCCCCACCCCTCCACCACCCCATTACTAACGTACGGACGGAGTGAATGTGCGAACGTTTTCGGCCTCGCGCTGCATTGAGACTTGCCCAGCCCAGGATTGTTCACCCGATTAGAAGCCTTCTCGAGCACGGCCCCAAACATCTGGAACATCCTCACCCTGCCAGCGGAACGCGCCGAGCACCAGTGCAAGACCCACCTGTTCATACTTCCCTTCACATAACATCTAAAAATTTAAATAAAAACCGTCTCTTTACTTTTCATTTATTTTATTTGCCGCTCACCTTTACTACGCTATTCGTTGCGCACGCTTGCACTTTATTTTGCGCCCGGCCGCAATTCACTCTGCTCAGTCGGCGTTAGCCGCCGAGGTCGTAAACGGGGTTCCTTTTCTCATTCTCGGTGCTCCGTGCCCCCTGCACCGTTCGTGATCCCGCCGCAAATGTGCGCCAACGCTCACTTTATCGAGGGCGATATCAGCACGTCAGATAAAGACTGGTTGATTGATTGGCTGGCTGGCTAGCTGGCTGGCTTGCGTGCGTGCGTGCGTGCCGATGGACCCTGGGAGGTCATTGCTGCACGGGCGGTCGGCCAGCCGCGGGGGCTCACCGGATCCACGACGCTGCCCTGCGCGCGACCACCTGCTCCTGCACAACGCGGTCGGAGAGACGGTGGATCTGGATCGCGGCGCTCGCCGCGTCCTGCGGGGAGGAAAGGGAGGAAAAAAAAAGACACGCACGCACAAACCCGCGCGTTTTGTCGTCCGTCGCGAGAGCGTTGAGTGTACGGGGACGTTGCGTCCCGAGCCACCACGCCCACCACCATCGTTTCCAGCCAGGGTCTATCCACTGCTGGATTAAGGCCTCGCCAAGCCTCCCCCATAACATCTAGCCAGGGTAAATCCACTGCTGGATGAAGGCCTCGTCAAAGCCTCCACCATAACGGGCATCACCTCTAGCCAGGGTCTATCCACTCCTGGATGGAGGCCTGAATCACGGCAGTCCGCCACGCGTACCTGTGCCGTGTGGACGTCCTGCAGCATGTCCGTGTTGCGGCTGAAAGTGGGGATGTGGAGCTCTGCGGGGATAGAAGACGGCACAAAACCACAACGGTGAGGAGGCGCTCGGTGGCAGCTCGCGGTTCTGGGTTCAGGAGGCAACGAAGTGCACCTCGGGTTTTCCCAGTCTCAGGTGTTGTTAAAATATATATTTTTGCCAAATCTGGTTTCTGAGATTTTACTTGCATGTATGTCAAGTTCCAACAATAAAAGTTTCCGCTCGAGTGCCATGCTGCGAACTCCTCTGCAGCGGCAGGGCACGTGAGAAGGTGTGGGTAAGAGGCAACTGAACGGGACCTCCGAAATAGTTCTGTGACTTCCGGAGGCCCGTTGTCTAACATGGGGGTGATGCACTTTTGCCAATGGAAATGCCTCTTTTTTTTCTCGTGCCCCTTTTATCAAGCCACCGCTGGATGACGGCCTCCCCAATGCCGTGTCGGTCGTGAGGGCTACCTGACCATACTACACCACGCTGGTCAGCGCTGGTCAGCGGCGAAGGCGGGAAGCGTACACGTTGGAACGTAGCGCAAACACAACGATGGCTTACGCCGCACTACTCTCTGCCGACGACGACGTCATCGTGATGAGATGCTGACAGGGCGTGGATTTTTTTTTTATATATAAACCAGCAGAGCAATGCAAAGCAAATAGACGGAGCCCTGCAAGTGCCTGCTCACGCCGCTGCTAGCGGAAGGGGGCCTTGCGCTTGATCGAAACTCTAGAGAGAGGGAGAGAGCACCTCCAGGGGTGTATTGTGGCCTATTCTTCCAAGCTGGCCAACAATTTCTTGGGAACAGTTGGGAGTAAGTTCCGCTTTTCCCCATCGTGCATGGCGTACCTAATTTTTGTTGTTGTTATGGCTGGGTGGAACAAAATGCGGGCAGGCAGATTTAGGAACAATCTGCACCATCGTTTCAGTCTCTGGGATGACGGAATCGAACTGGCGACCTCGGGATTGCAAGTCCAGTGTGCTGACCGTTACCGTACCCCGTGGTAGCCGCGATAATAATAATAACCATCATGCCCTTCATCTAACCCACGGTAGACAGCAGTGGTGCAGTGGTTTTGCAGAGTGCCAAACATTACATCACAGGAGTGACCTATTTAATTGTCTTACGTTTCCTATACTTTGCACTCCTATAGTTTCTTAACGTATCGTTTGTTGTCGTAACTTTCTGACGCCGTGCCGCTTACGGGACACCGGTGGAAAAAATATGATCTTCGTAGCTCATCGGATTTCCCCCGGTGTAAACGCAGATTCCGCTTCCGCACCCCGCCGAGAACCCCCCGTGATCGTCACGACGTCCCGCATTCCCACGCCGTTCACCGATCTGCCGGAGAGCGGCGGCCTGCGCTTGCCCAGTCCCCGCGGACGCGAGCACCACGGGGTCGTGCGGGGTCGTGGCCGGGAGGTGGCCCCCGGCAGCCGCCGCCGACGCCACCGCCGCCGCCAGTGGACGCCCCTCGTTGAAGAACAGCTGGAGGTCAGGGGTCACCCCCGTGAGGCCCGAGAGGAGCTCCTGCAGCTGGGCCCACCTGCGTGGGGGCGGGCGGTGGGGGGGGGGGAAGGGAATCGCAGGTGCCAGACGCGGTGCACCCGACGGCCATGTTACTAATCCGTTCGCCGGTGTGTTTATCATCGCAACCGCGCTGGCCCCGTTGGGCGCCGTTCCTTAAACCGGCGACCCGAGTTGGAATCCCGCTCAGGGCTGACGTCAGTGGCGAGCGACACCCGAACCGGCTCTGGGCCTCCCCTTTACCAATCCGCACCGACCGGCGTAGAAGTTGGGGGGGAGTGCGGCTCGGTGGGGGAAGAGGATGGTGGTGGTGTCACCTCCCCTGGCCCTGGTCCTAGGGCAGGGGTCAGCGACCCGCGGCTCCGGAGCCGCATGCGGCTCTTTAACGATCGCTTCGTGACGTCATTTATTAAGGCCCACTGTCTCGTAATTCACATACATTGCGTATTCTTCACATGTTCTCACGAACAGCAATTGCCTCAATAGTCTGTTAAGGCTACACGGGAGTTCTTTATTTTTTTGTGTGAGTGTGTGAGTGAGTGCGTGAAGCGGTAGTGTAGCGGTTAGTGCGCTGCACTACGCTACGAATCCGGCGACCCAAGTTCGATTCCCACTCACACCCAATACCAGTGACAATTATTTGAACCAGCCTCAAATGAGTACCTGGTGCGGTGGTCGGGCATGGTGGTGAACACCCACCCCCTTGCGCGCCGTGCCGGCCTTCGTCGGTGCTCGCTAACAGCACTTGCCTCAAAAGTCTGTTACAGGCTATACGGGGGGATCTTTATTAAGGCCCACATGCATAAGTGAGTGTGTGAGTGTGTGCATGCATCAGTAAGTGTGTGCGCGAGTAAGTGAGTGAGTGCGAGTGAGCACGTACGTGTCGTGGGCGCGGTAGTACACGCGGTGCAGCGTGTGCTGCGGCAGGCTGTAGACGTGGAGGAGCTCTCGCTGCAGCAGGTCCTTGGTCGCCGCAAAGAACTGCTCGAAACTCCAGCACTGCCTCGGGTCGGCCTCAAGAACGTTGGCCAGGATCGGCACCAGCAGAGACTTCAAGCACCTGGGGAGGCGGTGGCGATGATGGTGGCGGTGACGATGATGGTGGCGGTGGCGATGTTGGTGGAAGCAGTGGCGGTGGCAGTGGTGGCAGTGGTGGGTGGCAGTAGTGGTGATTGGTGACACGGTGGTGGCGGTAGTGTTGGTGGCGGTGGTGGCGGTGTTGGCAGCGGTGGTGGTGGCGGTTTTAGTGACGGTGGCGGCGGTGGTGGCCGTAGTGCCAGTGTTAGTGGTGGCGGCGGTGGAGGCAGCGGCAGTGGTGGCGGTCGTGGTGGAGGTTGCAGGGGGAGCGAGGCAAGAGGAAGGAAGGAGATGAAAGAGGCGGCGATCACCGAGCTCGACGCAGCGGCTCCGCGATCACGTGGGGCAGGGGCGCAGCCACCATGGGTTTCCTGGGGCTCGTGGCGGGAGGGGGGGGGTCTGGTCACTCACAACATTGTCAGATATATTTCATTTATTAATGACGCTTGCTCTACGCAGGAAAGCCATCACAGTGTCTCCACTCTTTCTCAGGAGGGTCCTGCCAAGTTATCGCAGTACAGGGAAATGTTGTTGCTGCTGCTGTGTGAGATCCCAGTTGAGTGATTTTGCAGGAAACGTTTCAGCAGTCCGTTTTGTTTTTGGCCAAAACCGGTTACAATGTAGAGGTTGGTTTTCCTCAACTACGGGGAGGAAACCGGTGAATCCGGAGGGAACCCGTGCACAACGTGGAGAGAACGGACAAACTCGACGCGTTAATGCGCCCGAGTCAGGAATCGAACAGAGGCCGTTCTCGCTGCGAGGCTCACTGCGCCACCACCCTGCCGCTATAGTGACCATCGCCGTCGATCGTCAAGGTGGCCTGGTGGCTCAGCGGGAAGCTACGAGGTCAGAGAGGCTGAGCCGGCACCGCTGAGACCCTGCGCTCCATTCCTGGGTTCAGCGGCGCGATCCTGATGAGTCCGAGTTACTCAAGCGGTGAGTTGATTGTCTCAGTCCAGTCGCCAGTGACTTTCACAGAGATCAATACGATACTCATAGACTCACACAGGCCTATAGACTCACATAGAGGCCTATAGACTTACATAGAGGCCCATAGACTCACATAGAGGCCTATAGACTCACACAGAGGCCCATAGACTCACATAGAGGCCTATAAACTCACACAGAGGCCCATAAACTCACATAGAGGCCCATAGACTCACATAGAGACCCATAGACTCACATAGAGGCCCATAGACTCACATAGAGGCCAATAAACTCACATAAAGGCCCATAAACTCACATAGAGGCCCATAAACTGACATAGAGGCCCATAGACTCACATAGAGGCCCATAAACTCACATAGAGGCCCATAGACTCACATAGAGGCCCATAGACTCACATAGAGACCTATAAAGTCACACAGAGGCCCATAGACTCACATAGAGGCCCATAAACTCACATAGAGGCCCATAGACTCACATAGAGGCCCATAGGATCACATAGAGGCCTATAGACTCACATAGAGGCCCATAGACTCACATAGAGGCCTATAAACTCACACAGAGGCCCATAGACTCACATAGAGGCCTATAAACTCACAGAGGCCCATAGAATCACATATAGGCCTATAGACTCACATATAGGCCTATAGACTCACATATAGGCCCATATACTCACATAGAGGCCCATAGACTCACATAGAGGCCCATAAACTCACATAGAGGCCTATAGACTCACATAGAGGCCCATAGAGGCCCATAGACTCACATAGAGACCCATAGACTCGCATAGAGACCCATAGACTCACATAGAGGCCCACAGACTCACATAGAGGCCCATAAACTCACATAGAGGCCCATAAACTCACATAGAAGCCCATAAACTCACATAGAGCCTCATACTCACATGAAGGCCCAAAGACTCACATAGAATGAGTTTTTTAACTGGGTTCTCAAGTGTAGCGAAGTTCTCAGCCTGGTGCTAAAACAATGACTGTGCTAATTAAAAAAATACTAAATCTGACTAAATTCCTCCTGTCGTGAATGTGTGGTGAACGCTATTTGCAGGGCATGTAAAAAGTGTTGATCCAGCATCAGATTTTGATGATTATGATGATGATGGATACCATAATAATGATGATTATGTTGGATGAAGCAAATGAGGATGATAATGAGGATGGTAGCGGTGATGACAACGGCCATGATGATGCCAATGATGCTGCAGCCGATGACTATGAGAACGATGACGACGATGACGACGATGACAATGACGATGATGACGATGACAATGACGATGATGACAATGACGATGATGACGATGACAATGATGATGATGCCGCTCACTCGGAGAGCAGGCAGGAGGAGGGCAGCGTGTCGCTCCACGTGATCTTCTCGTTCGCTTGCTCCTGCACACCCGAGATGGCGCCCTTCGGCTTCCTTGTCGTGATCTGATGCCTGAACACAAAGACATGTTCAGGCACACACACACACGCAAGATGAAAAAGGTCCCTCGCATAATCTTTAACAGACTGTTTGGGCAAGTGCTGTTAGCGAACACCTATGGAGACCGGCAAGGCACACGAGGGGGTGGGTGGCCAGCACCACGCCCGGCCGCCTTTGTCTCCCTAGTGGTGCTGTTTTACACACTGCAACGGGTACTCATTTGAGGCCGAGTCAACCTAGGGGAGGCCCAGGACCAGTTCAGATAATCGTCACTGGTTTCGTCCACGAGTGGGAGTCGAACTTGGGTCGCCGGGCACGTAGCGCAGCGCTAAACGCTACACTATCGCTCCCCACACAGGTGCACACACACAAAAGACAAAGATCCCCCATGTAGCCTTAACAGACTGTTGGGGCAAGTGCTGTTAGCGATCACCTATGAAGGCTGGCACTGCACACGAGGGGGTGGGTGGCCAATACCACGCCCGGCCGCCTTTGTCTCCCTAGTGTACACGTAAACACACGTACACACACGTACACGCGCGAAACGCGCTACGTCCCCCCATGCGCGCTCGCCGCCTACATGAGCTTCTGGTCGCGTCGCGGGCCGGCGTGCGGGCGGAACGGCAGGCAGCCCGTGGCCACATGGTAGATCGTCACGCCGATGCTCCACAGGTCCACGGTGGCGTGGTACGCGCGCGGCTGTGACGTCCGCAGCACGGCGCGTGCGTACATGTCCGGGTGCTGCGGGGGGAGCGAGGATCATCAACATCACCATCACGATTATCATCATCATCATCAGCAGGTCATGTCAGAGCTGTAGCGTCGGGTCGACATCAGTGACTGATCACCGTCGATTCCTGGGGTCCAGGTCATACTGATAGAACGAGCACCAAGGAAGGATGTCGGTGTCGAGTTTACATTTATACCCACCGTTGCTCACCCTAGCGGTTTGCTCGGGTGAGCAACAACCACAACTACAACCGCCGTTTGCCAATAACTGGCGGTGGCGTCACCCAGGCCAGGGCAGATGCACTTTGAAGCCACGTGAAGTGGCAGGAGGTCATGGAACAGACCCAGGTGCCGTGGGTTGACCGACTGAGACGACTGGCTGATGTCCCAACTGCGCTCCAAACTGTGCCACCTTGCTAGGTTTTTAGACAGACAGAAGACTGGCAGATGTCCCAACTGTGCTCCACACTGTGCCAACTTGCTAGGTTTTTAGACAGACAGAAGACTGGCAGGCTATACGGAGGTTTGATAAAGACAGACAGACCAACCAGATATATGACAAAATAAACAGATGGCTACTTGAATGAGCATCGAGGCTCATTTAAGTAGCCATCTGCACGTGACGCCGCTCACCAGGTACTCCTCCGTGCCGCACAGCGACACGAACTGCTCGCCGTCCTCCAGCCAGCGCGCCGTGTCGAAGTCGGTGAGCTTGTAGGTGGCCTTGCCGTCGGCGCGGAACGCTCGCATGATGTTGCCGGGCTTCAGGTCTCGGTGGACGATGCCCTTCTCGCGGAGGTGGTTCATCCCCGCCACTGCGGCGGCACCGGCGGCACCGGCGTCAGCGGAGATAATCGACGGAACAGGTCGACTTTCGGGAGTCACCGAGTTTCAGTCGGGGGCTCTGAGTCGGTAGGGTCCACGTCTTGCGTGGTGGGGATGGGGCATCGATGGCAACAGTAACGTGTTCCCATCACCAGCCCCGCCGACTGCCGCACGGCTGACCTCGTAATAATACGGGAGGGAGAACGTGCTTGTACGTGTGCATGTGTGTGTACCTGGGGCGGTGTGTATAACATCGCCACTGGGGGATACAAAGGTGGCAGGGCGAGGTGCTGGCCACCCTCTCCCTTGTCTGCCGTGCCGTGCCGCCCTTCATCGGCCCTGCTCGCTAAGAGCACTTGCCCCAACAGTCTGTTAAGGCTACACGGGGCATTTGAGCGCTCAGTAAAAATCCTTGCCCCGTAGTTGGAAAGCGAGTGGGCAGCGACTTACCGACATCACTGAGCACCTGCAGGAAGTCGTCCTCGGACAGCCCGTAGGCATTCTCGGGCTCGTTGAGGATGGAGTGGAGGCTCCCGCCGGAGCACACCTCCATCACGACCACACGGTGCCGCGTCACGCTCTGAGGAGACATCGCCAGCCGGCGTTGTTCATCACCGCGGCGCTAGGCGTAAGCTAACGAGAAAAAACTATAAACTATTACTCAACTATTCGATTTAATGCATTCGTGACTACAGGGATTCATCTTCTTGGTTCTTTCGGTAAAATCACGTAGAATTTAAATAAAATAATAAAAATAAAACATAATAAAATAAAAATTCTCACGACGTTTCGGCCACAACACAAGTAGCCTTCCTCAGGTGAAGAAACAGAACTGTCGGGTAGACAGCGCTTCAGTGAAGCTCTTCAGTGAAGCGCTGTCTTCCCGACAGGTCTGTCTCTTCACCTGAGGAAGGCTACTTGTGTTGTGGCCGAAACGTCGTGAGAATTTTTATTTTATTATGTTTTATTTGTATTATTTTATTTAAATTCTATATTACTCAGCTATTTGTATTTTACCAGGTAAGGCCTCACTGAGCTATAGAGCTCATTTTCAAAATCAACCTTGGCCACAAATGATAGCTCAACGAAGTGGCTTATCATCATGTGGAAATTAATAGCAGCCAAATACTCTAAACGCACGATGCTGATTCTAAATGTGGAGGGAAAAACCGGAGGACGTGGAGAAATATCCACGCGACCACGGGAAGAGAACATGCAAACTCCAAATATACAGGCGTCAGGGTCTGGATCGAACGCATGACCTCCGGTAATCCGGGCGAGGTAGTTAACATCTCGTCCCCATAGCGGGCCAACACCACCACCGCGCCTGACCATCAGCCATGATCGATTCACTGCTGGATGACGAAGGCCTCCCCCGAGCTCCACCGCTGAGCTATACAGCTCTTTTTCAGAAGCGGCCCGGCCATCGCAAATGATAGCCCAACGACGTGGCCGATATCACCACCACCACCACCATCATCATCAGCAGCACCGCCACGTGGAAATGTACAGCAGCAGCCGGAACACTCTAGAACGGAGCTTCACCGCCACCCACCTCCTCTTCGACGGCGAGGAGACGAACGATGTTGGGGTGGTCGAGCTCGGCCAGGACCCGGCTCTCCCGCTCCTGCAGCTCCGGGGGGCGCCGCATGCCGTCCACGCTCAGCACCTTGATGGCCGAGGGCGCTCCCGTCGTCTGCAGCGAAAAGGCAAACGATTTCCACCGCCGCACCCCCCCCCCCCCCCCACCCACGCGGAGCATCGGGGGGCAAGCCCCCTGTTCGCGAGCTCCGGTGTCAGGGGGTCGGCAACCGGCGGGCTTCCCGGAGCCGCGTGTTGGCTCTTTTAAAAGGGCTCCTTTGTGACGTCATTTATTAAGAGACCGCCGTCTCGTATTCACCACGTGCAGCACCGTGGCGCCTCTAGAAATGTTGAGGTTTTTTTTTACCGAATTCGAAAAAAAATGCCTATTCTTGTTCATTTGATTGCAGATCTCCTGGGCTAAATTAAGACTGACACAGAGCACTCCCCTAGGGAGGGGGGGGGGAGTGGCCTGGAGCAATGCCCGCCTGGCCACCTTTGTCTCCCCAGCGCCGATGGTTACACGACGCAGGCGCTCGCTTGAGCGTGGACTGGACTATAAAATCTGGGCAACCCTGGCTTATGTTACGTCGGCGAACGGTCGTCGTGCCGACTTGCTGTGGCTCAAACGAGCATCGAGGCATCGGTGGTCATCCCACATTTACTAGCCCCTTTTGCGAAGTTAGTGGCGGAAATTCCTCAAGTTTATGGCGGGGACAAGTCTATCCATAGAAAAAACACTGTTGATCCACCCCCCACCCCTCTCCACTACCCCCACCCCCCACCCCCTGGAGGGATGATTGGCTGAGTCGACCCCCGATCAGGATTTGACATCGCAACCCTTCCTTCCAAATGCGAGTCGCTCGCTCTGCCACGTAGCCGCCACCAGATCAGATAACCTCGTTACATTGGCCGCTCACTCAAACCGTCGCTCACTCACTCACTCGCTACCAGCTGTGCGAACTCTGCGTTTGTCGTTGTCGTCGTTGTTTTTGGTGCTAGTGCACGTATGCCCAACTCCTTTTGCGCCGTACGTGGCCAACCGTGCCTCTGACGAGCGTCCTTGTCAGACGCAAGCCAACACAGCGCCCTGAGCTCGGGGCCAAATTTCCCACTCGGTAATGCTGCCACACCGGCTTGAGAGTAGGGATTGTCGGTGTAAAGCACTTCCACTCAAGTACTAAGTAAGCCTATTCACAATAATCATCGTATACATTTGCACCTGCCTATATTCTTATGACCCTCTGAAACAGGCTGAGGACAAAGTTAGGCGAAGTGGATGCGACGTGGCCTAAATACATTTCCAGAGCAGCTTTTTGGACTGTTCCAACTGAAAACTGTCACTGCCCGCTGTTAATATGACGATCGCATAGGTACGCACGGTGATAAGGGGCAGACATTGGTTCGGCGTTGTTATTTTCTTGGGCGTCACAGTGGCTACGAGATGTTAACTACCGCGCCTGCTATACAGGAGGTCGTGGGTTCGATCCTGACCCTGACGCCTGCTGCTGTATATTTGGAGTTTGTGTGTCTCTCCCTCTCTCTCATCATCACGGTGGCTACGAGATGTTAACTACCTCGCCTGGTATACAGGAGGTCGTGGGTTCGATCCTGACCCTGACGCCTGCTGCTGTATATTTGGAGTTTGTGTGTCTCTCCCTCTCTCTCATCATCATCACGGTGGCTATGAGATGTTAACTACCTCGCCTGGTATACAGGAGGTCGTGGGTTCGATCCTGACCCTGACGCCTGCTGCTGTATATTTGGAGTTTGTGTGTCTCTTGCCCCATGCTCGTGTGGATTTTTCTCTGGGTCCTCTGGTTTTTCCCTCCACATTTAGAATCAACATCACACGTTTACCGTATTTGGCTGCTATACATTTCAACATGTTAATTAGCACCTTAGATTAGCACGTATGGCTACGTACAGTGCGAAAGAAGTTCAACATACATACATTGATAATCCACTTTCGTTGAGCCATCATTTGTGGCCAGTTCGCGTCTGAAAAAGAAGCTCATAAGCTCAGGTGGGCCTGGACTACCTGGTAAAATAAAAAGTAGTTCAGTAGTTTGTATAGTGTCTAATTAGTGGGGGGCGTTGGTGGGGGGGTGTGCGTACGCGATGGCGCCCATGGTAAACGCATCCCGTGGAGCCTCGTCCCAGAACGTCCGTCAGCGACCACGTGAAGTTCTCGGAGAGCTGCATCCTCGCCGGAGCTCTCAAGCACGCCGCTGGGGAGATGTGGACGATCGCCGTCGATGTTATCGCAAACTCCAAATAGTACGTTCGCATCATGTAAACACCAAGGATAAGCAGGCAAAGTTGGTATTATTATTTGTGTAACCCACCGGCTGCAATGTCTACTGAGAGTGATGCAATTTCAGCAGTATTGATTCAAGACGAGCAAAGCTCTGGACCAAGTTATTGACACACAGTGTCTCATCAGCAGAGTCAAGCTTTGCTTTAATCAATGCTGGTGATATGCTAGGTGTTTATAGACAAGGGCCGCTATCTTTAAGATCACTGTAATCATGATCTTTCATGAACACCATCATGGTCACAATTATTGTTGTTAACATCTCGATCTTCCCAGGAGTGGCTCGAGAAACTTTCCATGGGGAGGTGATCCAGAAATTTCAAGCTTTAAAATAATTATAATCGGAATAGATAAGATGTATTCATAGAGTGCCTTTCATACCACAAGGTTCAAGGACACATCACACAAAGTTGAAATGAAACAAAACATTAACACAGACAAACCTTGTAAAAACACTCATTAAGTAATACAAATACATGAAAAGGATGCAAGAAGATGACAGTGAAATAATCATAAGATTACAGAATAAATGAGAACACTAAATGATAGAAGTAGGTGTTATGTGAATAGAAATAAACATTCAATGTATTTTATCTGGTGAATATCGCCCCCGCCCATGATCAGCATAATCAATGTCAACATCACTATCAGCGTCATCAATGTCAACACCACAATCAGCGTCATCAATCTCAACACCACGATCAGCGCCATCAATGTCAACATCATGATCAGTCTCATCAATGTCACATCACGATCAGCGTCATCGATGCCAACATCACGATCAGCCTCATCTATGTCAACACCACAATCAGCATCATCAATGTCAACATCACGATCAGCGTCATCAATGTCAACACCACAATCAGCGTCATCAATCTCAACACCACGATCAGCGCCATCAATGTCAACATCATGACCAGTCTCATCAATGTCAACATTACGATCAGCCTCATCAATGTCAACACCACAATCAGCGTCATCAATGTCAACATCACGACCAGCGTCATCAATGTCAACACCACAATCAGGGTCATAAATCTCAACACCACGATCAGCGGCATCAACGCCAACATCACGATCAGCCTCATCAATGTCAACACCACGATCAGCATCAATGTCAACACCACGATCAGCGTCATCAATGTCAACACCACGATCAGCCTCATCAGTGTCAAGATCACGATCAACAGCATCAATGTCAACATCACGATCAGCGTCATCAATGTCAACATCACGATCAGCAGCATCAATGTCAACATCACGATCAGCGTCATCAATGTGAACATCACGATCAGCGCCATCAATGTGAACATCACGATCAGTGTCATCAATGTCAACAACACGATCAGTGTCATCAGTGTCAACATCACAATCAGCAGCATCAATGTGAACATCACGATCAGCGCCATCAATTTCAACATCACGATCAGCGCCATCAATGTCAACATCACGATCAGCATCATCAATGTCAACATCACGATCAGCATCATCAATGTCTACATCACGATCAGCGTCATCAATGTGAACATCACGATCAGTGTCATCAATGTCAACACCACGATCAGTGTCATCAGTGTCAACATCACAATCAGCAGCATCAATGTGAACATCACGATCAGCGCCATCAATTTCAACATCACGATCAGTGCCATCAATGTCAACATCACGATCAGCATCATCAATGTCAACACCACGATCAGTGTCATCAATGTCAACATCACGATCGGCATCCTGAATGTCAACACCACGATCAGTGTCATCAATGTCGACATCATGGTAATACAGACACATCTGGGAGGGAGAAACACAATGAAACTTGGACCCCTGGCTCTGCCTGAAGGTCCGCATTGCTCCGATCACGCGAGCCCGTATGAACGGTGGACCGAGTAATTCGCCTCCCGTATAGTCAGCGTGACGCCAAAGTCTCCGATGAGCAACGGTTGGCTCCGTGCAGGGTGCGAAAGATGTTCAACAATAAAGCCGTGCCAGAGTAGTTGTGTACTGTACACCACTGTGGTTGTGTACTGTACACCACTGTGGTTGTGTACTACACACACTGAGTAGTTGTGTACTGCACACAGAGTAGTTGTGTACTGCACACAGAGTAGTTGTGTACTACACACTGAGTAGTTGTGTACTACACACAGACTAGTTGTGTACTGCACACTGATTAGTTGTGTACTGCACACACTGATTAGTTGTGTACTGCACACACTGAGTAGTTGTGTACTACACACAGAGTAGTTGTGTACTACACACACAGAGTAGTTGTGTACTACACACTGAGTAGTTGTGTACTGTACACACTGAGTAGTTGTGTACTACACACAGAGTAGTTGTGTACTACACACTGAGTAGTTGTGTACTGCACAGAGTAGTTGTGTACTGCACACAGAGTAGTTGTGTACTACACACTGAGTAGTTGTGTACTACACACTGAGTAGTTGTGTACTGCACACACTGATTAGTTGTGTACTACACACTGATTAGTTGTGTACTGCACACACTGAGTAGTTGTGTACTGCACACAGAGTAGTTGTGTACTACACACAGAGTAGTTGTGTACTACACACAGACTAGTTGTGTACTGCACACTGATTAGTTGTGTACTGCACACACTGATTAGTTGTGTACTGCACACACTGAGTAGTTGTGTACTACACACAGAGTAGTTGTGTACTGCACACAGAGTAGTTGTGTACTACACACAGAGTAGTTGTGTACTGTACACACTGATTAGTTGTGTACTGCACACAGAGTAGTTGTGTACTACACACAGAGTAGTTGTGTACTGTACACACTGATTAGTTGTGTACTGCACACAGAGTAGTTGTGTACTACACACACAGAGTATTTGTGTACTACACACACAGAGTAGTTGTGTACTACACACTGAGTAGTTGTGTACTGTACACACTGATTAGTTGTGTACTACACACAGAGTAGTTGTGTACTACACACACAGAGTAGTTGTGTATTGCACACAGAGTAGTTGTGTACTGCACACTGAGTAGGTGTGTACTGTACACAGAGTAGTTGTGTACTGCACACAGAGTAGTTGTGTACTGCACACAGAGTAGTTGTGTACTACACACTGTGTAGTTGTGTACTGCACACAGAGTAGTTGTGTACTACACACAGAGTAGTTGTGTACTGCACACAGAGTAGTTGTGTACTACACACAGAGTAGTTGTGTACTGCACACAGAGTAGTTGTGTACTGCACACAGAGTAGTTGTGTACTACACACACAGAGTAGTTGTGTACTACACACACAGAGTAGTTGTGTACTACACACAGAGTAGTTGTGTACTGCACACAGAGTAGTTGTGTACTACACACTGATTAGTTGTGTACTGCATAAGGAGTAGTTGTGTACTGTACACACAGAGTAGTTGTGTACTGCACACTGATTAGTTGTGTACTACACACAGAGTAGTTGTGTACTGCACACGGATTAGTTGTGTGCTGCACACACAGAGTAGTTGTGTACTGCACACAGAGTAGTTGTGTACTACACACAGAGTAGTTGTGTACTGCACACAGAGTAGTTGTGTACTGCACACGGATTAGTTGTGTGCTGCACACACAGAGTAGTTGTGTACTACACACTGAGTAGTTGTGTACTGCACACAGAGTAGTTGTGTGCTACACACAGAGTAGTTGTGTACTACACACTGAGTAGTTGTGTACTGCACACAGAGTAGTTGTGTACTGCATAAGGAGTAGTTGTGTACTGTACACACAGAGTAGTTGTGTACTGCACACTGATTAGTTGTGTACTACACACAGAGTAGTTGTGTACTGCACACAGAGTAGTTGTGTACTGCACACTGAGTAGTTGTGTACTGCACACACAGAGTAGTTGTGTACTGTACACAGAGTAGTTGTGTACTACACACTGAGTAGTTGTGTACTGCACACTGATTAGTTGTGTACTGCACACACAGAGTAGTTGTGTACTACACACTGAGTAGTTGTGTACTGCACATACAGAGTAGTTGTGTACTACACACAGAGTAGTTGTGTACTGCACACTGATTAGTTGTGTACTGCACACACAGAGTAGTTGTGTACTACACACTGAGTAGTTGTGTACTGCACATACAGAGTAGTTGTGTACTACACACAGAGTAGTTGTGTACTGCACACAGAGTAGTTGTGTACTGCACACACTGAGTAGTTGTGTACTACACACTGAGTAGTTGTGTACTACACACTGATTAGTTGTGTACTGCAAACAGAGTAGTTGTGTACTGCACACAGAGTAGTTGTGTACTACACACAGAGTAGTTGTGTACTGCACACAGAGTAGTTGTGTACTACACACACTGAGAAGTTGTGTACTGCACGCACAGAGTAGTTGTGTACTGCACACAGAGTAGTTGTGTACTGCACACAGAGTCGTTGTGTACTGCACACACTGAGTAGTTGTGTACTGCACACACAGAGTAGTTGTGTACTGCACACAGAGTAGTTGTGTACTACACACTGAGTAGTTGTGTACTGCACACAGAGTAGTTGTGTGCTACACACAGAGTAGTTGTGTACTGCATAAGGAGTAGTTGTGTACTGTACACACTGAGTAGTTGTGTACTACACACACTAATTAGTTGTGTACTGCACACACTGAGTAGTTGTGTACTACACACTGAGTAGTTGTGTACTGTACACAGAGTAGTTGTGTACTACACACTGATTAGTTGTGTACTGCACACAGAGTAGTTGTGTACTGCACACAGATTAGTTGTGTACTGCACACAGAGTAGTTGTGTACTACACACTGAGTAGTTGTGTACTGCACACAGAGTAGTTGTGTACTGCACACAGAGTAGTTGTGTACTACACACTGAGTAGTTGTGTACTGCACACAAATCACGCATCTTCCGTGGTGTTCTTTCAGCCCCGCCCCCTGTCAATCCACAGCTGGATGAATGCCTCTGTCTCTGGGGGTTATATGAGGGTTGTTTCACCACTCTACAGCGGGCGAGGATCCCCGCAGGGGTTCCGATGCCCCTGGCCACCGCGATGCGTGCCGTGATGCCCGGGAATCGAATCTCGAATCATCCGGGATGACTTCAACGTAGCGCAAGTGCGCTAACCGCTGCGCCACCGCTCCCCGCGCGACAACAACATGTTGGGCACGATAACTGGTTGCCAACAACAACTTAACGCAACGTCCATTAACAAAACTTGCCCTAAAGGTGGTGTAAACCTTCAGGGAACCTGCGATTAACACTATTCGCCCGGCGTACGGTGCGAAATAAGTTCGGGCGTACATACGTACGGCCACATTGCAGGCGACGTTTCGCGCAACGGCCCATCTGAATGACACGCGGTCAGAAGCCCAATGTATTGCGGCTTTACGGTACATGCACCTGGCCGCGTTATCTTCCCCGATCTCAAAGAAAACTTTGAAATAACACAATAATATTCTCACGACGTTTCGGCCACAACACAAGCGGCCTTCATCAGGTGAAGGGACGAGACTGTCTGGTAGGACAGCGCTGACTTTACCGAAAGAACCAAAGAAGACGAATCCTTGCAGTCACGAAAGCTTTAAATCGAAACTCTGAAACCCCACGCGGGTCTCCTCCTTCACCATCCTCCTCTGCTTCGTACTCACCGTATCGCCGTCGTCAGCTGTTCTCTCTACACACGACGCGGGCGGCGACGTGTACGAGTTGAGGAGACAAGAGACACTCCGTCTTCATAGGTTCCACTCTAGGTCCCTTGGGGTCCGGGTGGTGGTGGGGTGGTGGTGGTGCTGGTTGAGTTGACTAGCGCTGCAATCGTGGACTTTGTGACAGTGCCAAGCGACGTCCGAGGTGGACTTTGGCGACACTTTGCCTTCCAAACCGAACGCGAAAGCGTCACCGGCGACGGGAACTTCCTCATCCGAGGGTGGTTTTGGATTTCATCGCTTCGGCTCCGAGCCACAAACTCCACCAAACCGGTTTCACGCGCAAGTCTGTTTCCTTGTTCATCTGTCGGGTTTTTGTTTGTTATGTACCAGACGCCCGTGTCCACCAAAGAAAGCCACCAACTTACACTGTTCGCTACATCTCTCTATCTTTGGCCATCAACGCTTCAATGGCTGGGCTCACGCCACTGCTAGTGGAAGATGCAGCCACTCTTAAGTGGTCATTTTTGGCCTACTCTTCCACCCTGGCCCAGACGTCTGAGCAGGATAGCTATGTGAGCACAACCCACATGTTTTACCCCGCCGCATCGGAACCCATTCGTCCTGCCGCGCCCGGAGATCGATGCGAATCGAACCGACGAGCTCAGGAATCCAGTGACGCTGAGGCCAGTGACACCGCGCAACAATGCCCCCTCCCACACACTGCTGACCGATGTTTTTATTTAACTTTTAACGTGTTTGGCGACACGGTCCTGCAACCCTATAAGCCGCGCACTGGCGATGCCTCCTGCCGCTGTTGCGTTGTGGCCAGCGAAGAGCGCAGTGCCGAAAAACAACCCCCACCCCACTGCTGCATTGCGATTGCAATGAATGCACCTCCCATTGCAATGAATGCACCTCCCATTGCGATGAATGCACCTCCCATTGCGATGAATGCACCTCCCATTGCGATGAATGCACCTCCGATTGCCGCGGTTGATGCTACGCACGGTGCGAAAGAAGTTCAACATCCTTACACACAGCACAGGATTATCCGAGTAGCAGCAAACAGTAGCAAATGCTACGGGACCCCGCAGCTAAATGCGTTCAATTCCGGTTCAGTGATTGTGCACTTGCTCTATTACTACAGTACTATACTGCCTTATGAACGACCTGTTGCTGTGCTGTGTAACAGGTGGCTGTGTGTGTGGCAGCTCCCGAACTATTTCGGTGTAAGGTTAGCGATTTGTCGTATTATCTGGCTGCATAGTAAATGAAAAAAAACAATTACTGTACTGTGCAAGTTAAAAAACATTGTTTTAATATTTAAGTTTAAAAAAAAAAATTAGGGACCCCCCCTTGATAACATAAGCTACAGGCCCCGCACGAGCTTAATTAATCCCCATTTAACATTGAACGTCAGGGCCGGCGTTGGTGCAACGGCGTCAATCGGATGCCACCCTGACAAACCCCAAACGTTGGCATGCTTATGGCGAGGGGAGGAGGGGGGCATCTTCATCGAGCAGTGGATTGCGACACGAGGTGTACGTACGTCCGTGCCTGGACAAGCGGAAGATCATTTTCTCGGCAGCTCGCGCCGTGGGGTTATTTCCCACCGCCTCCCTCCGACCCGACGTTGCGCAACTTTGGGGTTATACAGAGACGCAGACCGATTTTGGCAACGTAGGCCCCCGGGGGGCAGGGATTTCTATTTATAACGGCTGGGAAATACCCACTAGCACCCGCGCTGCGCTGCACGCAAGTGGCAGGTCGGAGCCCAAGTCTCGTGACTTGGGCTGTGCGGGGAAATGACGACGAGAGAAATGACGACGACGAGAGAAATGACGACGACGAGATAAATGACGATGACGAGAGAGAGAAATGACGATGACGAGAGAAATGAATGTCCATGGCCCGATGGGGTCGGCCACCTGCGGCTCCGGAGCATGCGGCGGCTCTTTGGCCACTCCCCTCTTGGCTCTTTGACCACCCCCCTCGCGGCTCTTTGGCCACTCCCCTCGCGGCTCTTGGCTCTTTGGCCACTCCCCTCGCGGCTCTTTGGCCACTCCCCTCGCGGCTCTTTGGCCACTCCCCTCGCGGCTCTTTGGCCACTCCCCTCGCGGCTCTTTGACCACTCCCCTCGCGGCTCTTTGACCACTCCCCTCGCGGCTCTTTGACCACTCCCCTCGCGGCTCTTTGACCACTCCCTCGCGGCTCTTTGGCCACTCCCCTCGCGGCTCTTTGGCCACTCCCCTCGCGGCTCTTTGACCACTCCCTTCGCGGCTCTTTGGCTGCCCCCTCGCGGCTCTTTTGGCCACTCCCCTCGCGGCTCTTTGGCCACTCCCCTCGAGGCTCGCGGCTCTTTGGCCACTCCCCTCGCGGCTCTTTGGCTGCCCCCTTACGGCCAACCGTTATTTTAAATGACGTCTTAAAATAATTGCATAAAGAGAATGGAGTGTCACTATGGAATGTCTTGGTGGCAACAAAATGTACAGTACAGTCACTGTATTGTTAAATATTAACTAGGGGAGGGGGGGACTAAATAGACGAAGTTTATTCCATCACCGATTTTGTTTGTCAGAATTGTGTGTTTGTCATCTGCTGCATAACCACTTGTTGCTGTGTGTTGTGTGTAAACAGGTGGCTCTGTGTGTGATGCGGCTCCCGAACTATTTTGGTGAAAGGGGCCGTCCATAAATGACGTCACGCGATTTTGGACGATTTTTGACCCCCGCCCCTCGTCATCACGGCGTCACAAAAAGTCAGACCCCCCCACCCCCTCAAATATGACGTCACAAAGCTCTGCCCCCCCCCCCCCCAAAAATAAAACATGCTTCAAATCGCTTTAAACTATTGTCATTGTAGTGCGTATTTAATGTGGCGCTGCACTCTGATGTTGTAGGAGAAAACATTTATTTAACAGTCTATTTAATTAAGAAGAACGTCATTAGACCTCCTTTGCCAGTACCAAAATGTAATAATAGGGTTTTTCCCCTTTTTTCTGGCAACAAAACTGAAACCTTTTTTACAAGGATTCATGTCTGCATTACCTACAATACCTGCAGTCAATATATGCATTGTCCTTGAAACTGATTGGTCCACACCAAAGAAAGCCGTCCCTTGGTGTGGACCAATCAGTTTCAAGGACAATGCATATATTATCATAGTATGTTTTTTGTTTGCATTTTGACTGCAGGTATTGTGGTTAATACAGACATGAATCATTGTAAAAAGGTTTCAGTTTTGTTGCCAGAAAAAAGGGGAAAAACCCTATTATTATTATAAGCAGAACGTGTTGTCTATATTTATTTAAAGTTGCGCATTTTGATGTGACGTCACATTTCTCACCCCCCCCCTCGTCACACATCGTCACACCCCCCCCCCCCCCAGGTGCGTGACGTCATTTATGGACGGTCCCAAAGACTAAAACAAAGGTCGCCGACCCCTGCCGTCGATGATCAACGGGGGGGGAAATGCAATGCGCAACGAAGGCTAACTTTGAAGACACTAAAACAAACTACGTGTTAGTTACTAGTGCCTGATTGTCCTAGTAGCAAAAGTAGCATATGCTACAAGCTCCGTAATTGGTGCCTCTTTGCAATCTAATTACCACGTATCGAATGAAATGAATATCATATCTCAGAAACGGCATTCTAACGTACAATGTTATTTTACTCAAGTGACTGTGATTGAAAGAAAATTATTTTGGAAGCAAAAAATGTTTCACGAGACGAATTTAAACCGCGTTTTAAGCGAGTTTTTTAGATCTTCCCCTTGCCGTGGGGGAGGTTGTTCCCTTGTGCGGTGTGGGGCAGCCAGCCCGTTACCCATCTTTCTATCCTCTGCTTTTCATAACCGGTTTGGCTTCACGTTGGGCGGTGTGTGTACGTGCGTCACGACGTGATGTGTCTCGGGCCCGCACATTGCCTCAATAAAAAATAAATATTTTAAAAAACTTTGTGTTCTCTTACACTGATGTTGAAAACAAATCTCATGGTGGTTGTCAACGGGGACCCAAGTCGTAGCTTTAGCCACCAGGGGTGGGGCAAGGCACCCCCCTTTTTCCCCTTACGCTCGAGGGTGCCACGGTGTTGAGATGTTAACTACCTTGCCTGGTATACAGGAGGTCGTGGGTTACATCCCAACCCTGACGGCCTGCATATTTAGAGTTTTCATGTCTCTCTCTCTCTCTCTCCCCGTGGTGGCGTGGATTTTTCTCCGGGTCCTCCGGTTTTTCCCTTCCACGTTTAGAATCAACATCACGCGTTTAGAGTATTGACTACTGCTATAAATGTCCACGTGATGAAAAGCTACTTCGTTGAGCTATCATTGCGATAGCCAGGTTACTTCTCAAAAAGATCTACATAGTTCAGTGGGCCTTACCTGCTAAAATAAAAAAAACATTTTGGGTTTTAGTTACCCTACTGATTTGAGCCCAGGGTCTCAGCGGTGTTGGACTCAGCGTCTCTGACCTCGTGGCCACCTCGACGATCGACGGCGATGGTGACCATAGCGGCAGGGTGGTGGCGCTGTGAACCTCGCAGCAAGAACGGCCTCTGCTCGATTCCTGACTCGGGCGCATTAAACGTGTCGAGTTTGTACGTTCTCTCCCCGTTCTGCATGGGTTTTCTCCCGGATATCCGCTTTCTTCTCATAGCTATGACAAAACAAAACAATACACTGTAATTGGAATTGGTCAAAAAACATCACAATGCAAAAAAATACGTGAAAATTACTCATTTGGGATGACACACAGCGTAGCAACATCGCCCCTAACTGCGAAAGCATTGCTGGACCTTCCATAAAAATATAGTTGAGGCTTCTCTGGATGAACATGCTCAATAAGATAATAAAAAATATGCTCGCTGGTGTTTGTAAGTAGCTGTGGATACCACTTTGATCAACAGCATCGACACGATAGAGTTTCATTGATGTTGGGGACCATCGTTACGTGGGGTTAAGCTATGATGCTGCCATCCACCCAACCCTTAACCCCCTAGCCAACTGCTCGTGACTGAACGTGCAGTGTTTAACGTGCGAACGCTTTTTCAATCTTACTCTTAAACGCGTCGAGAATGTGGCCAATTACGCAAGTGTAGAATTTGTCTTTCTTTGGATGAAACTCAAATGAGCGTCGTCGGTATCTATACAGGGTGCTTAAAAAAATGCTAACACTTACATGGGATTCATATCCTCTGGGTCTTTCTGGAATTAGTGACCACCTTAAAAAGTGCATATGGAACTACTGTTTTTAATGAGGAAAAAAAAACGGATAATACACTGTAAAATTATAACAAATGTAATATGAATAGCTTCATCACCATCATTGTCAACGCGCACCTGGAATCTTTTGCAGGTGGTCTCCAGAGCCCAGAGGCACATTTCTCGTGGTATTATTGCAAATCCTCAGAACTGTTTACATGTGTAATGGGTTCGATTGAGGCGCACACTCAGCTTGGAGGCAACACTATTTATTAACACGTAACCTTAACACGGACACTACACATCAGGTGGTGACCACCGTTCCTACTCTCACGAACACTCGGGAACACTACACAGCGTGACCAAGGCAGGGGGACGGCTGCTTGGTCATGAACGACGATCGGAGACTTGAGGACTTCTTATTGGCGTCTTCATCCCGGAGTAGAATAGCCCAGCTCCCCGTTCACACCCCGCTTATAACCGCTCCAGCGTGGCCGGCTCCGCCCCAGGCCACGCCCCCCTTCTCGATCCTTCGGGAAGGTCTGGGACCCCAACCACGTGACCCCCAAGCTCCCCCCCTGGGGCCCCTGGCCCCCGTTTATCCAGTCACGTGTCCTGTTGAGTGCTACGGCCTGACACGACCCCCGTGACACCCGCCTACAGCCCCCATACCGAGCCGACACGGTAGTGACGTCATATGTCCCTACGCTCGTACAGTCCAGACATAGTAATGACTTCATATGTCACTACTATGTGTAGTGGGTTCGATTGAGGCGCACACTAGAACTGGAGGCAACGCCCGGGCTTTTCCGCCCGGGCTTTCCCGCCCGGGAAACAGCAGCGGCGGCGGCGTCCTCTCCCCGCGGCTCCGGCGCTCCCTCCCCGACGGCGGTGAAGCAGCAGCGTGATGACTGTCCCGCCACTCTGCCTGCAGCGCCATCTCGCTCTCTCTCACCGGGGCTGCAATCCCCGGGGCTGTCTGGAGAATGATCGTCACGCCGTCCTCGTTGTACGACGGCGTCCAGGCGAGTTGTTTTCTACATGTGGCGCATTACTACGCTAGACTAACACCTAGCAATAAAATATCACACTTTCTGACACCAAATGTAGTGGGTTCGATTGAGGCGCACACTAGAACTGGGGGCAACACGTTTATTAACTAACACAACAGGTACTGTTAACGTTAACAAGATAACGACATAGGGTGGTAACCATCGCTCCTAACTTAGCTAACACACGAGAGATACTATACAATATTACCGGACCAGGACAGCTCAACACGCGGCCTGGTCCACTAGCGGAGACCGGAGACCGAGGATTGTGGATGGCGGCTTCATTCCCAGAGTTGACCCAGCAGAACAGCCCCGCTCACTCCCGGGACTTGGCTTATTACCGCTCCGGTGTGGCCGGCTCCGCCCTTGGCCACACCCCTTTCCAGATCCTTCGGGAGGGACCCTGGGTCCACATCACGTAACCCTCACACTCCCATGTGGGGGTCCCCCTGCCCCCTCGTCCAGTCACGTGCCCTCTCGGATTCACCCAGGATATCATGTCCTGACCTGACAAAAGTGACACCTGGACCCTGCCCTCTAGTGAGCCATACTGTGCCATGCTCACTCTTGTGCCATAGAGCGGCACCACGCGCACAGCACCACTCTTCACTCGGTACTGTTGCTGCACAGTAGTGACACCATTTACGCCACTACACGTGTGTAGTGGCGTAACGCGCGCAGGGTTGCAAACGGCGGATGCATTCACGCGCGGAGTTTGCAAAACAGCGGGTGCATTTCAGGGCGAGCAAGTGCAAGCGTTAGGCCATGGAACAGCCGCCAGAGAGGCGCCAGCAATTAAGGGGAGAGGCGGTAACTAGGTGGGTGCATTTGG